TTACGTGATAACTTCTTGGAGTTTTCTTTATAACATGAAAAACATACTTTAAAAAATACTTTCCCTGCTGAAACATAGGGCATGAAGGGTCTGGATATGCAAGGGGGTTACATATTTGATAGTTAACCAGCAAATAAAAATTTATTATAGAACCTTGTGCTTTGCAAGAATTGTGGGGTTTTTCTTGAACATCATTTATTCAAGACAATGTAAATGACTTTTTAAATTAAAAAAGCTCTGAAATTATGACCAGTGCCAGAGAAGAATCTGACCCCAAATGGATTGCCTGAAATGGAACATGCGGTCGCACTGGTGGGGATCACAAGCACTGCTGCTCCAGAGCTGACCTCTTTGTTTTCCTATTAAGAAGAAATATGCGTATGTATTTCCTAGATGAATCTTAAAATAAAATTTACTTCTAAGGGATGGAAGGAAACAGAAAAATAAGTGCACCTTGGAGCCCATGTAAATGTATTTTCCTTAAGTAAAAAAGAAAATTCATCAATACAGTTCCATATGTAACTGTTGAAACTGTCTTTTGTCTAGGAGGGACTTCATAATTTATGATTATTCAGGAGCAGGGCTGGTATTTCATTGTATTTTAAAAAATCAACCATACAGATTGTAGGGTCACAGAAGTAAGACAGACTAAGTCTTCCAGAGCATGTTTTACTTTTATTATTATTCTAATAATTGTAATTATGACTTGTTTTGCAGTAAGAACATGGAAATGATGGCAGGAACAGAATAATTTCTTCCCAGATTAAAATTAAAGAAAGTGTACTTTCTAGGTAGTGTATCTCTGCAACACACATAGAAAACATTAAAAAAAGTTATACAAGGCTCAGCCTGGTCTGAGCCATCCCCATTTCCTTTCCTTGAGCACATCTGTCTCCAGTGTCAGGTTACTAGTGAACATTCCTTCTGCTTGCTGACTACCATCTTCTTCTGGAGCACTGTCTCCCCCCAGGCAGGAAAGGCAGTGAGCACTAATAGGCAAGGCAGGGAAGTGGATTTTTTTTCCTCCAGAAAAAAACAAAATGGCAAACAGGAGGAATAGAGTTTTGTTTCTGGGTAGGTTTTCATTTTCAAACACAGATAAAATTCAGGACAGAGTGCATCATTTTCTCCTGAAATCATAATTTTTGAGCTAATAAGTTTTGCCTAGAAAAAGTGGTCTTTATGATTACAGTCAGTGAAGAAGGCAAACATTGTATTTGGCATCTGGTGCTGTACCCTGGTCTGAAGAAAAAACATCCTTTATATTCATGGTAGGCACATAGATCCTGTAAAACCATGAGATAATAATCCCAGTGAAATTTGTGGTAAAAAAAAAAAAAAAATCACAGACACCTAAACAACATTTCAAAATTTATCCCTGTGAGCATTTCTTGGCCAGCTTCTTCCTTTCAAGCAGTTACTCACATGATCTTTTTGCATTTTTAAAATTTTGTTTGTTTCACAGCCCACTTACCATCTTGCAATGTAATAGAAAAGAACAAGGAAAAGCTGAGAACTTTCCCTAGTGACACTTGCAAATTTGACTCGAAGATATGCTTCACAACATTCTTTTGACCCGTAAAGATGTTTATCCCAGATCTTGTCTGGTTAGTGAAATAATTCCTCTGGATCAGCAGGATAGATTAATAATTTGGGGAAAACCAAGTTAGAAAACCTGACTAGAAGCTCTGGTATTGTATGTTATCTGACAGCTCCAAGTCAAAATAAACAAGAATTTTTGCTTATTATCAGTTACTATCACTGCTGAGCATTCAGCATGGTTTCTTATGAAACAGGGGAGATCCACAATGATCTATGTATTTTTACAGGCTTCTAAGAGGGGAAGAGTTATTATCCAAGGGGTATCTGAGATTCTAGGACTGAAACTAGTATTGCCATATACAGCAATTAATTCCTGTACTTTAGAAGCATCACTTAACATTTTAGACTGATAGCATTTGAAAGCTGTTTTTAAATATTAACAATAAACACTACAGTTTATAATTATGTGCTGGCCTTCAAACCAAAAGTAGTATTCAATTTCTGACTAGCAGAGCAATAGGGAATGCTAATTAATCTCTTACTCTATCCTTGGAGGTGCCAAATTATCTTTATCTCCTGTTGTAATCATCCAAGCTTATTCTATTTCTTAATACTGTGCATTTTACTGATTCCTCACATTATTTCATCTTTTGTTCTTCCAGGACTTGCTTTTGCATTCATCAAGATAATTTTTATTCTTCTATATATGACAAAATGATTTTATATTCTCTCATCCACCTTTCCCTTATTTCTTCCAGTTTTATTATTAGAGATGCCACCACATTTTCAAAATTTTTCCCCAAGATTGGAGCAGCTACTCTACTGAAAGTGTCACCTAGAAGTGATACAGTACTTACTGAAATGTGTTAAGCAAAAGATAATGTTGCGTGTTCCAGTTAATGTTTGATATTCAGGAAAGGCAGCTCCTATTCAACACTTTCAAAATAGTTTCTGCAATATGCTAACTATTTTTTTCACTTTCCGAATGTAAACAGATAATCTGACTATTTAATCCTATCAAGGAGGAAATAAGGAAAAGAATGCCTGTTGGAGAAGTAGCAATGATATAGGTAAAAAAAATCATCATTCCTTTATTATGTTCCTTCCAGATTATAAGAGAAGGAAGGCTTTTGATTTGAACAGCCAATTCTTCTAGCTCATAAAGCAGTTTCTACAGACTTCCAGCTTTCCTACACACTTTACATTCCCTCTCCTCCTAAGCCAGCCCAAAACCCACCAGAAAACACTACGAAAAAGGCAGAACTATTACATCACTACATTCTACTAAGTTGTTATTTGCCTAATTTCGAGTAGCACTCTGCCACATGAAAGTAAGTACCTGAAGGAAACTACTTGCAAAAGAACTACAAACTAGAATGGGGCTGTATTACATTTTAAACATTTTTTTTCTGTGGGGAAGCATAGAATTATTACTGTATCTTACATGGAAATGATAATAACTCTGTCATGCTCATGCTATAGTGACTTGGATTTGATTAGTCAAGTAAATATTTGTAAACTTTGGCACAGAGTTAACAGTAGAATTAACAGATTATACTATACAAAACTGGAAAAAAACCCCAATAAATATTGGACTTAATGATTGCATCTTACTCAAGACCCCTAAATTTAACTCCTGGTCACCTCAGAACCTGACCACTGTAGACTTCACCACATTCAGGTGCAGAAGAAGCCTCGATAGCCCGAGGGACTGGCAATAGTCTATGCATTCTTTCTGCCTTTTAGCTTTCTGCAGAGTCCCTATCACTTTGAAGTCTATACTACTTTCCACCTTAAGGTTATGAGCCTGAACCTCACCTGCTGAATGAAAGTGATGGTCATTTGCAGGGCTGTATGAATGAGGTGGCCAGTGTGTGCTCATTCGTGGTGAGCGAGAGAACACATCCCTAAACCTGTCCTAGTGGGGACAGAATGACATTTTGGATATTGAGGATGTAACCCTGGCTCTGTTACAAACTCGTTGAGTGATCTGGGCACAGCACCCCTTTCCTACTCCACCACATTTGTACTTGAATTTATAACCCCCTTAAGATAATTCTGTCACTGCCACCACAGGACCCTGATTTCAACTGAGCTAGTAGCAATAATATTTTAAAAAAAATTCACTATAAAGTCCAGAAATCACAACTTAATGATGACCAAGCTGTAAAGAAGAACACTGGGACATGTCTCCTGATTATGACACACAAATCTGATCATCCAACAGAAGATTTCCTTTGTTAATGTTTTGTCTGAGACACCTTCCTCAGTGGGCTCAGTATCATTTCAAAACAACATTTAGTAACTATTTTCTCCATGTATTCAAGCTGCAATTTGTCTTTTACTTGATATGTGCATATTCTACCTAGACAAGTTAAGTAACCAAGTAATGATGTATAACTCTATGAGGAGGTACTAGTGCCCACTATTGAGTTACATAGGTTTTTAAACAAAATGGGGAAGCCCACAGTAAGGGAAAGCAATACAGGGGCAACTGAATTAAAACAAAACAAAACAAAACAAAACAAAAAAATAACCAAAAACAAAACAACTCCAAAGAACCCCCCTAACAAACCAACTATATGTTCCACTCTTTTAGGAAATAGGCAAGTAACAATCTTCTCCAACTTTCAATAATAGTTACCAAGTAATAATAGTAGTGCTTAGCTTATATAGACATGTACTCTTTCCTGCATGTTTTGGAACAGAAATTTTTCCCAGAAAGGAATAAATTTAAACTTTTTTTTTTTTTTTTTTTTTTTAATAACTAGGTGCTATTTCATCACAAGAAACCAGCAGGTTGGAGAAAAGAAAAAGGACCGGTCGATTTTCGACTGATGCCAGTAATTCACTGGATTTCAAAGCCATCTACTTTGTGCTGCTCCCAAATTCCACGGGTTTTGCCTTTTTTCTCTTTAGGCTTGGGTATCTGCACCAGTTGGTTTCAGTGGTTTGTTAAAGCGAGCTCTCATCATAATCAAGTGTAAATATAATGCAATGTACAGGTGGGCTATACAAATGGATGTCCCATCCAAAACTGCTGGCCTCAAACTGGCACTGCTGGAACAGATATATCTATTTTACCTTACACGGTAAAAAAAACCAAAAAACAAACAAACAAAAAAAACCCAAAAAGAAAACCACCTTCAGAAATTAATTCCTGAATATTCTGATCTTTAAAAATAGTCGACGATACAAAAGACACCCATTAGCCTTAAGTAGTGCCAGTTTCACTTTGAATAGCCACAAGTTCGCAGCTAGTTTAGAGAAGAGAGAAGGCATTTGAGCTGGGACAAGGGCCATGCTTGGGGGGCTTCCCTGCCCCCGCTTTCGGGGAGGGGGAACAAAGGTCGGGGGGGCATTTCCTGCCCCTGCCATTGGTGTCTGCATGTGGGACCAATATGGGCAATGCAAAGTTTAAACAGTTGCAAATGGGGGAGGGAACGTCGGGGCTTGTTTTACATATGTTTTTTTCCTGCCCGGGTTGAATTTAAAGTGGAGCGGCCGCATTGTTCGAGAGGCTCCTTGCCCCTACGCATTGACCGGACCTGCTGTTTACACGGGCTTTTCATTCCTGCGCTGTTTGCTTATGGAAAATAAGGGGGAGTGACAGAAAAAGAGAAAGGGAGAAGGGAGGAGAGGGTGGCCCGGAGCGCAGCACAGCCCAGGAGCCCTGGTGCTGCCGGATCGCTGTCCCGCCGGCGGAGGCGGCTGGCCCTGGCTCCCGGCCGGGCCCTGGCATGTGAGCGGCGGCTGCGGGCGCTGCCGGCCCCTCGCACCCGCGGGCGGCTCTGCGTGCATTTCCTCGCCGGCGCACACACACACACATCCTCAGAGCACGCCTCGCCTGGACTGCAGACATGAGGCTCCAGCTGCTGCTTTGGATCGTGGCTGTGCTCCTGGCGAGCCTCCTCCCAGCCTCCGGACAGCGGCCAGGTAGGCGATGCCTCAGCGTGATGCTTGTGCCGGGGCGGGAGCCGGGGGTTCGTGCCTGCCAAACCCCCGGCTGACCGCGTCCAACGCGGTTTGTGAACTCCGGGACGAGTTTGGACCTGGCGCATCTGTCTGTGCGCTTCATCCCTACTTCTAGAGGCAGCGGGAGAGGATGCTTCGCCTATCCCAGGAGTCTGGCAGCTTTGGGGAGGGAGGCGGCGCGGAGGGGAACAGGGGTAAATAGGGACCCAAGGTGGGCAGCTGTCGCAGACTTGCTACCGGGAAACGCCGGCGGCGCGGGAGGGCACGGCCCGGGCAGCGGTAGCTCCGGGGAGCGCCGGGGCCGGCCCGTCCCGGGGAGAGGCACTGCCGGCGGCCTCCCTCACGCCTCGCTTCCCTCCCTCCCTCTCTCTCTCCGCAGCCAACCTGGCGCTGCGCAGGAAGCTCCACCGGCACGGCTGCTCCCACCGGCGCTGCATGCCGCTCCACTCCAGGGTGCCCTTCCCCTGAGCCCCGGCCAGGTAATTCCGCAGCGAGCACCTCGGGAATTCGCACCTGCCTGAAGAGCAGCGCCGGGGCCCGGCTGCGCCCGGGCTCCCCTCGTTTGCTCTGGATACGGCCCTTCGGAGCTGCGCGCGGCGGGGCCGGCGCTGTCCCGGGGCTGGGGCGCGGGTCCCGCCGGCCGCTGCCGCCTTGTCCCCCTTCCAGACCACCTCTCCTGCCAAATGCCTTTTTGAAGCAGGAAAAACAGCTGATCCCGCTAATCGGGCCGAACGCTGCCCTCCGAGGCTGTTGGCAAAGCTGCGGGGCAGTATGTCACTAGTGCAAAGGCTGGGTAAAGCGGCACTTGCGGAGGATGCTCCGGGCTGCGAGCGCTGCCACTTCCCCCGCGTTGGATGCAGGGCGAAGCCACCTCACTCTGCCCGCCAGCAACATGAAGGTAGCCGCACTCAGCCCACTTCAAAGGGGACTGTAATTCTTAATCATTGTCAGCAAAAGACTTTCAGCCCCTTGGATGAAAGGCTATACAAGTGCAAAACATTAATGCTTTATAGCTGATGAGGGCAGATACATTCAAATACTAAGTGACTGCAGAAGCAGGCAGGTAGCATATGCTAATACGGTAGGCATCAAAAGGAAACCTGGCGCTCTTTGCAATTTAAGAATGAATAATGCAGTCAGTAGTTTTGCATCTTTGAAACTCATTATATATTAAAATAATGTCGTAGCCCCAGGCATGCCAGCATCCTAAATAAATGGTGGCAGAATCTGCATTCTGTGGAGCAAAGACGTTTCGATTTACTGAGTGGTTAACAGTGAAAAGGAGACTAAAGTAAAACTTTTAACAACTCTATGCCAAGCATCTTGTCAATGCATAAACTGCCTTGGTGAAAAGAACTTAGACCACTCCCAAAACAGCCATGCAAAAGGGTACCATTCCACTCTATAGCGCTGGCCTATAAACACGTGGAATGTGCATATGGGATGGTAAACTGGCAAGTTGGTGAGGTTGAAAAAAGATTGCCATATCTTAAAGTGAATCTCAGATGGGCTGCATACTGAGTGGCAGAATTGAGATGCAAGTAGAAAGGACATGCCAGAAGGATGCTTTACTACTGAATGCCATGTCTCCTCACTGCTACATTTAAAAGGCAGATTAAATGATACTTCATCATCAGTTTAAGCTTAAGCCTGCAAAGATAAGCAATTGGATCGATTCACTCAGTAGGCAGAGACTGAATGGTCAGAGGGACAGAGGAATTAAGGCCCAGTGGCTAGGAATCAATTCAGAATTATTTCCTTCAGTTCCTAAGACGGTACATTTAACCTTCTTCTTCCATTCAGCATCCATGTCTGGAAATTGTGTAGAAAGCATCTACACTTTCTGTAATGTGCTCTGAAGCCTCATATAATGAATGCATTTACTTGAGATTGCAGTAGCTGCATATACCACTCATATTCTGTGGGGAATTCCTTTCCTGACAGAGTATTAAGATAAAAGGTATTTTCAGTGTTATCTCCTTTTCTTTGGGGAGCTGATTTCTTGTAACAAAAGTCAATGACCAAACAAAACAGTGTACTTACTAATTCTCAATAAATTTTGTAGACATGTAGCTAAAGAGCCTTCTGCTTTATAAAGCTGTTTAGAACTTAGTAAACCTCTGCTAGGGCGTAAGGGGAGACAGGCACCTGAACTAACTCTCTTAACTGCAGTCATTGTGGGTGCTATCCTTTATCTTAAGTAGGATTTACCACCTACGTTTACATTCCCTTCCAGTTTTAGTCCAAATTCAGCAAATATTTACATGCCTGGGTTACTTGACTCACATGAGTAATCTTATTGATCTCAGTGGAGTTGTACATATGGATAGAGCCATTTGCAGATGCAAACAGGATGCACTCTTAAGCCTGAATTTCAGCTAGTGGTAAGGAAACTAAAATGAGCATAGCAGCCTCTCGCAGCATTTGAAATTAGAAGACTGAATTTGAGTCTTCATCGGTTCCATACACAAAAAAATTAAGAAAATTTTAAATTAGCAGCCTTCTTGCTTTTGTCTTTTTTCTCCAACTTTGTAGCTGAAATTTCCAAATGAAGACATGTTATTCCAAATTTCATCCATGTGTTTCATAAATAATGCATTCTGTTTTGTATGAAACTTATTTAGACTACTAAATCTCTCATTAATATTTATCTCCTTTTCTTCTTTTTTCCCCCCAGCAACTTCATACTGGACTTTTCAGTGTTTTAAAGGAGCGACAGTTAAACAAATAAGAGAAGTTTGTCAAAAGTCCAGATCAAAAACAGGTGATTTGACAGCCACCACAGTGCCATCTTCAGCAGTCCTGTCTGTCACATTCTGCTGGACCTGGAGCTGCCCTCTGTCTCACACCCTAAGAAGTGGTGGCAGGGGAAGCGGTGGTGGTGATGGGGGACATACATGAACTTACCTGGTAGTATCATTCCCTGCAAATTATTTGGCTCTCACAGTGAGCAGTGAAAGTTAAAGATCAAATCAAACATCAGGTAGATTTTGATCTGAGGTAGATTTCCAGTGGCAGTAAGAAGGAAGGGTCTGTCCAAGGCCACTCTTGATGATATATAATATTCAAACTGAGAGAAATTGGAAGTGCTGTTGACTATTCATTTCAGGCTGTGTTTAGGATGAAATAGCATCTGACTCCAGTATGGAATTGTAAAAGTCCATTTTTTGTTTATACTTTTATATATTAATAATATATACATATATGTTTTAACATCTAACATTACATTTTTATGGAATTACCTTAATAATAACATAGAATGCATTACTATAATAGCACCAAAGCCAGCACCACACTAGTGGTCCCACTAGCTTCACGTATAGTAAGCATAGTAAGAGTTTACAATATAAGAAAGCAAAGAGTGTTATCCCTCATTCTATAGATAGAGAATTGAAGCACACAGAGATAAGAGATTAGCCAAGGGTCATGCAAAACTGATAACTCAGATCTCTCAAGCCAGGCCTTAAGGTCAAGCCCATCCTCCTGTCTAATGAGCTGTTACTGCAAAGCCTATCATTTGTTTTCTTAAAGTGGGCTGCCAAACCAGACAGTTAAAAGATGCTTGAAAATTCAGTACTACAGAGCTATTTGCTTAATAGTAGTTTTCCTAAAATACCCTCTACAGTATTATAAATAGAGCATAAAAATAGACCATTGAAAAGAATCCTTTGTTTGGTCAGCCCCAGTGTTGCATAGCACTCTATTCCTGTAATTTAAATGAATGGGATATTTGGAGGTAGCACTACAATGAATGAAGACTTCAAACAGAAAACAGGCTGTTCTTTTCAGCAATGGAGGTCAAGAATACATTGAGCTTTTAGTCTGAGTTTTGCTCTTAAAAATACATGCTTCACATCTGCCTTTTATTTCAGCAGAAATTACCTACTGACATATAAAGGAAAATGTGGTGGCACTTTCATTAGCATAACTAAACCAACCTGAAAATAAAACATACTCAGATTTTTAAGTCATTGTACTAGACTTGAAATGCCAACATTTTTTACAAAATATATAAGGATGATCAAAGATCAAAAGTGTCATGGTTTAAATCTGGTATTACTGTTTTTTATTCTTACAACACAGTTTCTAATAATTGAAAGGACAGCAATCAAAAAAACTGGATAGCTGAAACTTTCTAATCAGTGTGCATATGTAACCCCTTATCTCTAAGAACTTGAAACTTTACTTGAATTAATACTGGCAGAGTTTAATAGGAGTTACAAATTTCTCTCCATGAAAAAAACTTAAAATATAACTTTAGACTCAGTTTTGGAGTTGTGTAAAACCATCATCAAAGATGGTCAAACTTATCTAAAACAATAAGCAGTCCTGCAGGTAAACCTTTGGGGTCTTGAAAAAAAAAAAAAAAAAAAAAAAATTTCCCAAAGAGGCATCCTACCACTTCTACATATTTTTAAAGTTATTTATTTAACTTGGCTTTGATATGTATCCTTGGCTATCTCTGTTTAGGTAAAGAGGTTCTTTACCTCTTTACTACAGGTAAAGAGTGTCAGAAAGCAAGATAGGTGAAGAGTAGCTATTATGTCTTATGAATGAGTACATGGATCTATTGTGGCACTGGGTCTTTTATATAATCACAATTATTCAATTAACTTTGATAAATGTATCTATGAAAAAGCTATAAATGCATGTTCCTTCAGAGAGAGAAAAATAAAATAGCACCCTAGAAAGCCTGCTGTCAAGTTTACAAAATAATTCTAAATATCTGATATTTAAAGGCATTCTGACACCATCAAATCTGCTTTAAAAAGGCATTGATTGTGAGCTTTGATCTATAAGTTTATCAACTAGCTGGTTGACTGTATATTTTGTAAAAAGATAGTATGCATTTAAAATAGTATCTTATTTGAAATAAATTTTGTACACTCCTCAAAGTCTCTATTCTTCAGCTGTCAAAGCAATGCATCTAAAGAAAATTGAGAACTTGCCTGTTTTCCCTGTGGATTCATAGAAGAATCAGTATTTGAAAATTTTTTTCTCAATTTTTGACACAAATAAATGATAGCTAATAATGGAAAAATTTTCCTGACATCTTTGGTCTTTCTAAAAATGCAAAATTCTGATTCAAGTCAGTTTCAACAAAGTCAAATGCAAACCTATCTCTTTACATTTGATGTGTAAGACATAAGGCTCATGGTAAGAATGGCTTTGCATGATAACAGTGTGATCACATCTATAAATTGGAATAATTTGGACACAGTGCTGCAACAGCCAAAGTGACTGAGCTCTCCCTGTGCATGTACCAGTGAACACTTAAAGGCAGCTTGCACGAGTACAAATTGCTGTCTACTCAAAGTCAGAATTGATGTTTGCATGGATGCAAACTAGCAAGACTTGATCCCAAGATAGATTAAGACATCAAATTCTGGAAGGCAAAATGTGAGTTTCTAAAACATTGAATTAACTCCTTGTCTTGTACATAGTTGTAATATGCGGAAAAACGAAAACTTGATTTGAAAGTACATTTCATTAAGTCCTGTAACAACAGGTCAGCAGGAAACTGAGGTAAATGCAAGGCTTTGGTGAGAAACAACAGTTTAGCATGTTCCCAAAGGATAATAAACAATTCACCTCTTCCCTTTCCAGTATGGAAAAAAGGAAATTATAGGAGAATAAAGACTGGAAATATTTCCCTTACGCCACATACACATGCTATAAATATCTCAGTGTCTACACAAAGCCACATTTTGCTAAGGGTCATGAAATATTTAAATTGACACCAATCAGGAGAAACATTAGTATGGCAAACAAGTTTCAAATGTTGACTCTCAGAGTACAATTAGCCCACTGAGCTACTTGCTCTTCTACTGGCCTTTCTCTTTCTTGCTAGTGATCAGCTGCAAAATATTTGTGCAAAGCAGGAAACACTCAACAGCACAAACAAGGCACCATGGCTTTTAGAATGAAAGCCTAAAAGCCTACTAATTCCAAGGCTGAAGCTGCTTTTCCATGTCTTGAGTTACCTGTTCAGACTGTTGTCTGCCCAAGTCTCTGGTCCTTGCTGCAACCTTGTTTTTTAGATTAAGAAGGACTTCCCGTAGAGCAAGCCTGCTTAACTCCATGTTAGTTACTTACATGTTACTGTAGAACCTTAAAGTAGGAAAACCCTCTTAAATTTTTTTACAATCAGTGATTTTCCTTGTGGAGTGAAATACTGAAGTGATTATATAGAATATCCACTAAGAGCAATTCAGAAAGACGAAGTAGAAATACCGACTGAGAATTTTCCCTCACGTAAGATGTGTATTCACAAGAGACCATCAAATCTTTTCTTTCATGTGTACAGAATATTTAGCACAGTTCAGCATTTCATCTAAACTTATTAAAACCCCACAATGTGAACATTTTTCAGGCAACCCAATATAGTCCTTACGTGACACAAAATTTTTCTCAGACCTAAAAAACATATAGATTGGTTTTCTATAATAAAATAAAAATAAAATATTGCTATAATAAATATTTATAGAATAAAATAAAAAGCCACTGGGGCAGCATTAAATAATAAAAACAAGGATAAAATAATGATACATAAATTTTTATTTTAAGGCACAGTTTCAGCATATATTAGGAAACATTCCTTCACTTTCCTTATCTTCCCGCTGCCCCAGCTGCAATCAGGTAGCTCTTACCAAGACCTGCAAATACCAAGTGATTTCAGCAGCTGTAGTCCCATAGCTCCATATCACTTCAGCTGTTCAGAGTAACAGATTTGCAGGTTTGCCACACCTCAGCACAGCAGGGCTGTGTTGGTGGTTAGCAAAGCACTGCTTTCCAGCAGAGCACGCGCAAACCTCAGTGCTCACAAAGCAGCATATTTTGCCCCCCTGAAACTTGGACCTAATGCTCCAGTGCTTACTGCATGCACAGCACACCGTGGATTTCACTTCACACGGTGCAATCCAGCCCATGAGCAGGTGCTGGCAGGGAGCAGCACCCAGGCTGCAGCACTGGGGATGGACAGCACTGGCCGCCCCAGCACCAGAGAGGTGTCTGATAAACATACAGAACCAGAACAATTAGGACTCCTTGTTCAGTTTAGCACTGTGGCATGTCAGACATAGCAAGGTCACAGCTGAGCTCCATCTCCTTTGCACAGCAGCAGCCATTCACCTCTTCTCTGTGGCCTTGGAAGCGCTCATTGCACACAGACCAGTGAGCTCGGCCACAGGCAAGCTGGTGGCCAGGAGGAGGCAGGGGCCCAGGCCCACAGAACCCAGCAGCACCACACCATGCACTGGGGCAGGCAGCACAGGGGAACCTGGGGGCTGGGGAGTACTTCTGCCTCCGAACAAGGCTGGCTTTGGCCCATCTGCTGCAGACAAGGGGCTTGGGGCTGCCACACACAGCAACAGCTCCTACTTGACAATTCACTGTAGCTCTACCATGGGCAGAGGTTCAAGTGTTCAGGGCGAGTAGTAAAGATTACTAGCTTCCGTTGGAGTCCATACAAATGTGAAAAGCCTCCACCCTGCCCAAAGAAAAAGCTTAGAGATACTAAGAAAACAAGGTAGAGTTGGGAATATGATAAAGATATAAAACTGGGGCAAGGGGTGGGTGGTTATCATTTGTTATCACTTGTCTACTTAGGAAAGATAACATTTAAAGGGCAGAAGATGTACATGTGTGTGCACAGCAAGCCATACTTGCCTTACTTTCCAGCTACCATGTTCCACAGAAAGCAATGCTACTGGTTAATCCAAGGTTTACCTTGAGCAGTCAGATAGAAGAGGAAGGTTTGAGTAATGACCTCAAAACAAAGGAAAGTTTTTCTGCCTCACTTCTCAATGTTGGAAAGAAACACAAGTGGCAGGGGAAGTCTGAAGCATGATGGAAAAAAACATTACCCAGAAAAGGGAATAAAACTAAACTTAAAGCTTCAAAACAAGCGCACAGTTATCCTTGTTTGGCTAGTTTTAAGTGCCAACACTGCTGTAAGAACTTCAGTATAACACAAAAATCTGCACAGATTGCCTGTTGGAACCAGATTTACATCAGCTTGGAAATAACAGAATTCACACTCTTCCTTGGTTGTATTTATTGTGCATGAATTTCACAGTCACATTTTACTGCTTTTCATAGAAATTATATAAATTGACATACAGAGTCACATCAAAACCTGAGTTCTAAAAACAAATAACTTTATTCCATATATATATATACTATAAAATTCTGGCTGCATTTTCAAGAAACAACAGCTAAGGAGAACAGTCTAGTGTTGGATAGCAGCAAAGCCTCCAATATTTGTTTTCCTTTGAATGAGACAACCCCCATATTTGTTGCACACTAAACTGTCTAGGTACTTCTAAAGTTGTGCCTTAACACCAAAGTAGGATGAATTCATTTTCCTTTCATATATTCAACTACAAGACTACTCCTCTTAAGAGTCTTCTTCCCAGTTTTGATTAGTGATTACCCTATCCCCAGAGAGGTATTGGCTTCTAAAATAATTGTTTGTCTATATTGGTAGAAAAAATAGTACCCAAAACAAAATGTTTCTGTCACCAGCCTCAATTCACCATAGATTAAAACCAAGAATTCTTGTTTCTTCAACTTCTAAAAGACCTGTCTTCCATTTCAACTTTTGAATCAAGATGCTGACTTACTTGAAGGGCCAAAGTGAAGAGCAAGTATGTAACAAGTATTTTTGACAGCATCTTTAAAAGCATTCAACACAAGTTAGTTACCAGGTCAATGGAAAAGCTCATGCTTAAGTATTTTAGCTTTGTTAGTTCAGTTGGCAGAGTAGGAGTCTTGTTACTAACACAAACTCCTAGTAATGGGATAGTCATCAGCCCTAAAGATCCCTCTTAAGAGCTTTAAAGCCACAATTCTAAACAATTGCTTATCACAGCATGGTTTTTGTACCACAAACTTGTATGTGAGATTTACAGTTTTAGGGCACCCACCACTTTTTTATAATCCCAAGTTGGATACCAGCTTTCTCCACTTACCTGACAAAGGAGAAAAGGAGACATCTAGAAAACAAGTACTTGGATTACTGAAGTAATCCACCTGTACCCTGGAAGTGAAGGGAATTGGTGACATCTAGTCTCATCTTCAGCAATAGAAACTGCATATACATCTCTTGAAAAGTCATATTTTTCTAGAAAAAAAAAATTGTACTCCAGACGTATAAAATACTTTGGTAGCCTGAAGCTTAATGGTTACACAGCAGTACAAAATAATAGCAACAACTGGGCAAAGTTAAACCATTAACTCAGGTCCAACTTTAACTTATGAGGAATTAAAAATCCTTGAAGCTGCAGAACTTTTTTCCAGAATTGATGATTTGAAGGCAGCCAGAGTGTCCAGTCGTAACAGGCTTTAATATATGCAGAGCTTATCTTTCAAGTTTAACTTCTATTTCAAAACACGAAAGATGATTGAAGAGTCACATCTGTACAAACCAGTCTGGATATTACATTACTTCACATTCCCCTCCAGAGCTCCAGCAGGAGTTTCCCAAATGCTGCTAAGTTTTGGTTTGCTGAGATGTTAACGCCAACAGTCTCTTGCTGAGCAGTGCATTGTGTCGCTGAAGATACTCTATTACATCTCCTTGCTTCTCAACTATCTCTTCTAAACTGGAGTTTTCCCTTGAAGTAACAAAAGTAAATATGGGTTTCAGTAAATGACAGAAGCCTTTTAGTATGTGAAATGTCAGAGCTAATTAACACATACTTAAATAGTTGTTTCCTTTAGTTTCACTTTTGCTGGGATCAACTAATTTTTGTGGGGAGAGGCAATCTACAACACCTATACGTCTAACTCTATTTTGCATGAGAAGGTAGGAAGAGAAAGTCTGGCTGAACTTCATGCTATGTATACACAACTGAGCTACATACTTCCCGCTAGACAGTTACAGAATGAGGATCTTACTGTTTAAGACACCAAGACAGACAACATGCTAGAATTATAGTAAGAACCATGGAACCTTTCCCACACACATTAGGAAACTTGTTTTGAGCAAGCATATTGTTGTTCAGCTGTGGGAGATCATAAGCTGTTCAAGACAGAAATC